CCGCCCTGGTTGCCAGTTAGCTTGTAGATGTAGTTCAAGGTGCTGGTTGTCACCTATAAAGTCTTTCGTGCAAAGAGCCTGGTTACCTGAGGGACTGCCTATCTTTGGTAATGTCTACGTCTGGTAAGATTTGGTGGTTACATTTCAGGTCCCCTTAATTAAACAGTGTCATTGAGTGGGGCCCTGGAAGCGTGCCGCCTCAGTTGTAGCACCTGTCTTGTGGAATGGTATTCCCCCCAGAGATCTATATGGCTCCCACCCTGGTGATGTTTCAGAAGCCATTAAAAATCTGACTATTTTCCCAGGCCTTGGGGTAGGGTGGGCTGTGAGAATAACATTGAGGAACAGGAAAAAGAGCCACAATCAAAGCAATGGTCAGAAAAGATAAATCTGAGTCTAAAGCAGGAATGGAATTTGAGAAAGTGTTTCAGACCTGACCCTCCCTAGTTCTCTTTAGGATAAAGGCTGGGAGGGGGGAGGCACATCCAGAGTTGCAAGATTCTGTTACTGTAACCCTATGATAAAAGTAAGTTTAGTATTCATGACTTTGGTATTCAAGTCTGGTCTACCTCGAAGAGCTAACTGATGGTGATCACCTGTAGAATGTTATTTGTTTTGTATGGTGCTTCTTTTTTTCTGGATGCACATCACTTCTTTCATTTTATTGTTCTAGCTTTTTTATAGTGTAAAGGACCCAGAGTTATGGGGAGTTGGGCATTTTTAAATCTATGTAAATAAAATTAATTAATTAATTAATTAATATGGTGCCCACATAGCAACCAAGAAGATACTATGATTGACAATATTGAAGACCACTAAGAGATCCAGTAGGACAAGGATGGCCATGCTTCCTCTCCAATTCCCAACCACAGATAACCCATGAGTATGACCAGTGTGCTATTTCTGAAGTGTTGGGGAGCTATTGAAGCCACAAATCTTTGATATAAAATATATTTAAAAGGGGATAAATATCTGTATTTGCTTAGGATCTCAGCAGCTTTCCCTGCTTCAACATAAACACAAGTGTGCTTACAGCTTGCAACAGAGATATAGGATGTGGCTCTGTCAAGGAATCATGAGGAATTATAATGTTGACAGCTGAAGCTGTGATATAGTAGTCAGCAAGTGCTCTTTAATGGGGCATAAAGGTTTTCTTTGTCTCTGTAGGTGCAGGAAAACAGGTCTTCTAGGTGAAAGTGGTTGTAGGGTGGCTTAAAAGAAGGTGCAGGGGGCTCTGACCCTGAAAAAGAGAATAGTTAGGGTTAGGGTTTAATTTAATTTAATTTAATTTAATTTAATTTAAGAATAGTTTAAAAATAGTTGTAGAGATGAAGTAAACAGTGAGTCATTCTAAACATTCCCAAATATACTCAGGAGTCCAAGCAAGGGTGCAAAATACAGTGACATTGTGGTTGTGTTCAGAAAAGCAATAGAACAGACAGATCATCTAGTTTATGATTTCAGAGGAATGTTCTAGGATTTGTGTATTCTTTCCACCAAGGCTCTGGATTGGCCAGTTTAGAAGTAATATAGACAACAAAAGCATTTTAAACTTCTGGGTGACATGGTTACTTGCTGAATTATGATTTCAAGTCACTCCTCAGTTAATCAGTTATCATTTGCCTAACTGGTCAACAGAAAACTGGCCAGCAGTAATTTAGCCAACACTCCTGCATTTGATTAATCATGGGTCTGAAACTGAGAAGATAGAGAAAACAAAAGTCTCCCCTTCACTTGAAGGGGTGTCATACTCTATGAGGCTGGCAAGCTCAGGAAACAAAAACACTCAGATTTCCTGAGAGATTTTTATTGCTGGTAGGGCAATGTAACAGAATCCTGAAAACCTGCCAAAGCAATTATCCTTATATAAACTTATACCTAGCATGATTAAGGCAGAATTACTCTGAGTTTCTTTCTCATGCTTCACCTTCTCCTGGGCTCAGGAATCTCTTCTGTATTGGCCCTGTTTCCTCCTTTCACTTTCTTGTTGCCCCCTCTGTGTCCCCAAGGTTTGTTAGGAATTCTATCACAGGTAGTAGAGCCAACAGGTTTGGCTGAAAGTACTGTGGACCCAAAAGAAGAAAACCAAACTGAGCTTTTTACCACTTTAAAAATCCTTTCCCATAATATGCAGGTGACTGAATTTATGCAGATAAAGAAAATTTGATAATTTGAATCAAATTGAGGATTTAAATCAGAAGTTTGATATTTTGGATTAAAAAATGAGAGCTGAAAAGCCTGGTGACTAATTCATTTTAAAGAAGAACTATTCAGCTTGAAAGCAACTTGGAACAGATGTGACAGATTTCAAAAGTAAACAAAGACCATCAGGATGAAGTGACCCACTGATAATTCTTTACTGCAGAAATAGTTAATTTTTTTTTTAATAGTCCTTACATCATTGAGCAAGATCAAGCTTTAGCATATTTTTAATGTTTTGTTTAATTACGCTCCTTTTTTGAGGGAAATATGAAGGAAATATCTTGAATTGCCAATATGTGTTTGCTTTCTTTTCGTGAACTGGGTGTCTATAGATGTAATGGAAAACTGTTCAATATTCTGTGTGCCTAAGGTTTGATTATATGTTTAAAAATTAGGCCAAATAATTTTCTTCATGTAACATAAATCTGTTTTATTGTTTGGTTTCCCCTCATTTTTATTTGTTGGCTTGTTCTTGCTTACTTGCTTGCTTTCTAAAACCAATAAAATAAAATAAAAATCAGACACATAAAAGACACATGGAACAAAAAAAGAAAGCTTTTGAAAGGGCCAGCACATCTCTGAGAGTTAATTTATTTTCTGAAGGAAGCACGTGCTTTTCAGACTAATTAGTGGAGATAACATATAAGCAAGTAATACTATGTCCCTCTTCACTTCTCCAGATGTGTTTTTTGTTACTAGTAGTTTATATTTATATCTCACCTGTCCTTCAGGAGCTCAAGGAATTGTATCCTCCAATTTTTCCCCAAAGAGCAACTCTGTGAAGAGGTGAGAGTGACTGGCCCAAAGTCACTGTTTTGTGGTATTTGAGTATAGAATGCAAGTAGCTTAATTTTTTAATGTATTATAAAATATCCAACCCATTTAAACTCTTATGCTGGAATCTGCATGTATGAAACAAATGTGCTAAGCCCTGGGATTCCTGGGATTTTTGTACAATAGTACAAACTCAATCCTCTGTTGAGTTCAGCCTGTATATGTGAGTATTAAAGGTGTGGTGGAGCAGGGTCGCATATGAAGACCTTATATTGGTACCCTGCATGTTTTCCTCCTTTGTAATTCACCAAGAACATTAAGGTTTAATACGTTTTTATAAGAACTTGTACAGCTCTTCAGGTTGGGTATGGTTTTTCTATCCCACCAAACTTTTAAGCTTTGTGACTAAACATCTGAAAAACCTAAGAAGTAGAACCACAAATTATGTGGCAATTTTGTAGTTCTTCTCCCCTGTGGCGTATATAACAATGGTAGGTGGCTTAGAGCTGAATGTCAGGGTTGGACACCTTTCGCACAATTGGCAAAATTATATATCTCCCCACCTGGTATTTTCCTCAGGAATATCAGCTATGTGGAGATCTATCACTTCTGTGTTTTGGAAAAAAGAGCCGTGGATTAAAAGGATGATTTTGAATGTACAAATAGCTGAAAAAGAAAGAGTTAGTGACTTTATCTGCTCCATCTGTCTTGGGTTCTGTTGGAACTGATCAGAGTTTCTGTTGAAGCTAAAGCATTTATAGCTGCTTTACCTGCAAAAAGATTCATGAGAGAAAAATGGAGCCGCAGATACGTCCTTATGGTAGGCATCAAGTGACACCTCCTCTTTGCCTGGTTTAAGTTTAATTAGCATCCTCTGATGGAAACAACTTCCCTGCAATTCCTAATTCCCTGCAGTTCATACTTCTTTGCAAAGAATTGTAGTTATGTGCATGAGGCACAGGCTGTTTTTAAGGCAAAGATACACATTACAGGTAGTCCTCATTTAACAATGCTAATTGGAATTGGAAACTCCATTGATAAGTAACACCAATAGAGGTGAATATGTGTAGCTCAGGGTTGAACTGTGGAGTCCTTGGGGTTTTCTGAGCTTGGTTCTTGCAAATGTTTCATTACCCTTCATTCACTACCCAGTGCACTGAAGATGTTACCTAGCAGGGTAATGAAACGTTTGCAAGAAAAGAACCAAGCTCAGAGAACCCCAAGGACTCCACAGATAAGCAACACGGTCATAAGTCAAAAAACCACATGACTGCACTGCTTAGTGGTGGCAGTGCTGTTTGCTGTCATTAAATGAGGACCGCATGGGTCATTAAGCAAGGATGTCACATGACTGTGACTTCCCACTTCCTGCCAACTTCCCCATTG